GGTTTTCGCTGCACAGATTTCTGGCTGTAGCCCTGAGAGCCGCGCTCGGGGTCTGCACTACTGACATGCTTTGGAAGCAGACAGTTTTCTTGCCATCTAGTGTGAGGATGTATGAGCAAAAGAGCTTTTGTTACAGGCTCCATCTCTACATCCTCCATGGACTTCTTTGGACACCCAGGACACTTACTGTCCCTCCCTGTAGTTCTTCGTTTTGTTTTCGAGATAGGGTCTCACTATGTAATCCAGGCTGGTCTTGAATTCACAATCCCCGGATCACAGGTGTACAGGCATCGTGATATCCCTGCTTGCTCCGTGGTTCTATGATTACTCTATCTCCTTCATTTTGTTCAGGGTGAAGGTCAAGATTGTGGCGTGTGCCTTCTTGTGGAAAAAGGTCTCAAGCAACACAAAGCACCCCACTTTTCTCTACCAGGCGTTTGTGTTTCATTCCGCAGAGTAACTGCTGGGACTATTAAACCTGTTGCCTGTCTAATCATTTTTCCCATTTCTTAGATTTCCTTTATCAGTTTAAGGGTATTATGTCCAGCTATGTGACTGGGTTGATGTTTTCTTTTGCCATCCTGGTCTCTTAGAGTAAGATGATTGAATTTATTTGCATTGTTGAATTCATTAATGTGTATGGCTCTCTTTCCCCGTCGTACTTCATGTCTCTCGTTTGTTATCCTTTTCCTTCCCCACTAACTTTAGCTTCCCTGATTCTTGTTCCATTGCTCGGATGATCTTTGTTCCTACTTTCTCTCCCACATGGTGGTCGAGAAGGCTGTCTTATGTTTCCTTTAGAAATAGTTACCCTTAAACGAAACATTTGTGTGTTCCTATCGAGAAGTAAGCTTCCAGTTTCCAGCAATGTGTCCCCATCCTGGGAGACACTTGTCCAGATGACACCGCTTCCCCTCTGCTTGTATTGCTCCTATTTCCTGTTCTTCCCACTTTGTCCTCTCTTGAATGACTTATTCTGCTCTCATTTTGCTTTGTTTTGTCTTGCTGGAGTAATTCCTTGAGTGACTTTTTAAGAACAGATAGGTGGGTGGCCTCTTTTTTTAGTATTTCTCTTTTTCTATTTGAGCCTTGACTGAGCAATGGAACTCGGGGCTTTTATTACCTCTTTTTTTCCCCTTCAAGCCTTGGGGTGTCTTTCCTGCTCCCCAGGGGCAGTCGGGGTAGGAGATAACAATTCCAGTGCATGCTGGTTAGTTTTAATTGTCAACTGGACACAATTTAGAGTCAGCTGGGAAGAGGGAACCTCAATTGAGGGATTTCCCAGGTCTGATGAGCCTGTGTTCATGTCTATGATAGAGTTTCTTCATTGATGATGGATGTAGGAGGGCCCAGCCCACTGTGGGCGGTGCTATCACTAGGCAGGGAGGTCTAGGCTATATGAGAAGCACTAAGCCCAAGACAGAGCAAGTAGCAAGCAGTTTTCTGCTCCATATTTCTGCCTTCAGCTTCCTGCCTTGAGGTCCTGCCTTGGCTGCCCTCAATGATAAACCATGACCTGGAAGTCTAAGATAAAATAGACACTTTCTTCCGCAAGTTGCTTTTAGTCAGAGTGTCTCATTACAGCAACAGAAAGCCGACCAGGACACATAGCAGTGTTGCTCTCAACATTTCTTGTAGAGACTTAGAAATGCTGGCCTTTCAAATCTCATCAAGAGAGCATTAATCAAAGCTGAGGTGCTCCCTGGCCTGGGAAGGGAGCACAGAGGCTCCAGGGAGCCCTGGTGTGTCTGGAGCAGGGGATGTTGCCTCTGCTGAGGACTAAAAGTTCTTTTTCCATGGGGATTGGCTTGAGGTTGTGTAAGAACTGTCACACAACAGTCTGTGACTGGTGGAAACAGCAGACATGGAGTGTTGAGGCAGGACAAGGGAACCACAGGATCATGTTGCATAAGCAGCTGAGGAGAAGATGATTCCTTCCCGGAGTTTCTTAATGTCTGTCATGCCACCTACCCAGCCAGAGCTACTGGCTGAGGTGTACAGGGCAGAGGTGGGTGGCCTCAGCATCTAGTGCTTCCCTCTTGCCCACATTGGTCTCTTTGGAGAAGACTCAGAGGGTCCTTTTATTCCAAGACTCCCGTTCCCAGTCTGAGCTGGTTTCCTGGGCTTTGGGGTGGACATTAGCTGTGCCTGCCATGAGCAGTCAGTGGGTGTGGTTGGGCTTTCTGGGGTTCCCACCCCTCTGAATCCTCAGACTTTCTGGCAGCTGGTATGACTTGGGATCTGTTGTAATTCGTATAGTCTCTTTTTTTGTTTTGGGGGACAAGAGGCAGACCAATGGGCCCTCTTTGTCATCTAGAAACTTGGGGGATTGGGATGACATTTTCAGATAACTAGTATACAGGTGTAGCTGGACAGCTACTGAGGAAGACTAGGAGTGGCTGATGATAGGATGATAATGGCCTCCGAGCTTCTACCCGTCCTATCTCCTCCACAAGCCACGCCCTCTCACCCCAAGCCCATTAACTCATTAATCAAAACCATTCCATGACCTCACTCCACTGCCAGCTCAAGTCCTGCCCCTCCTCCAGCAAATCTCTTGTCCTCATCCCTGCTGACTCGTACCTCAGTCATTACTCCTCGGTGTTCAGGCTCCTTACTGCCCCCATGCAAGGACGCGGGCTGGGGGGTGTTTGTTTGAAACACTCTTTCCTGTATCCAGACACCATCAGAATCAGCTCCACTGTGGTTCCTTTGAAAACAAGGACCAAATCTTTTCCAGTTCCTGTCTTTGGCAACTTCCAGTCAGCTGAACCCAACATGGGCACTAGGTGCCTGTCTGTGATGTGAATAAACAACCATGTTGGGCTCTAAAAAGAATTGTTACACACTGGCTGTGTGTGAGATGCGTGCTAGGGGCTGCATGTGATTCACAGGAAGCCTGAGGGAACGCCACTCCATCTGGAAGGACTCTCAGCTCTTGGTATCTGCACAGTGAATACTTGCTTATCGCAAGAGAAGTGTAGCATTGTGCACTGGGTCTTGTGGGCAGTGGAACTCATGTCCAGTGTGCTGGGAACTGGCTGAATGGGCTGATCAATTAGGACGGGTAGACATGCTGTGGGGGAGGGACTTGAGGGCTCAGAGGTGGGACCTAGTCTGTGTGTGCTCTAGGATCTTAGTGAGATGAATCGGGTACCCCCATTTTTTTTTTTATTACTCACAGTGGATTGGGAGATCAGACTTGGAGTTGATGGGAAATGGTGGAGTTGTGAAAAATCGAGATGGTTCCATTGGCAGACTCAAAACATTACCACAGGGAACCACAGAGTCAGTCCTCTCTACTGTGTGGTGGCAAAATGCCATCCTGTGGAGTTGAACAGTAGCAGGTATGGTGGGAGGGGACACTGGGGACCTCAGGTGACCTCTGTTCTGTAGCAATCAGCCGTGTGGAGTGGTTGCCAGGGACTAGTTCTTACAAAGCATGGTGCCGAGGATGAGCAAGGGGGCAATGCCGCAGGCCTACGTGCAGGTTGCTCCACGTCACCACGCTCCACTCTGGGACAAAGTCCGTGGCAGTGATGCGGGTTGTGCCACGTGCCAGGCATTGTTCTCAGCACTTCATGCACAGTGACTCATGAAAGCCCGGGAAGCCCTCGCCATCCTCAGCCTCCTGTTCACACCGTGATTTCCCACGCCACCAAGGTCCTAAGAAGGATGTGGACTTGAACCTGGGGTATCATAGCCTAAGAGACCACATTCTCAGCTGTCCCACCACACCACCAGAAGCAGACAAACCAGACAGCCCGATGAGCATGGGAGCGAGGGCGTTCTATGCTGCGGACACAGCTAAACCACTCAAGTTTTCTGGGTTAGGGGGCATTTTCCTCTGTAGTTTTTTGTTTGAGCGCCACAACAGCCAGCTAAGCTGGTGCCTGAGCAGCCAGGCTTATCCGTTTGCTCGGTAACCACTGTGAAGCCTCTGTCTCGCCCCAGGCTTCCTTTGGCCTGAACACGGTGTTTTGTTTAGTAGCTTGGGAACCACAGTGTATTCCCACACCTGTTGCTCCACTGCTTACCCCTGTCTGAAGATCCTGCAGGCACTGTTACAAGTCACGGTAGTTTTCTCTGGCTGGTTAACAGACCCCTCCAGTTCAGTGGTTGTGTGCCATACCCATGTGCCAGCTTGCTTCTATAGGTCGCCAGATTATAGCCAGGCCACCCTGAATGTACCCAATCTCATCTGCAGTATGCTCAGGCTGGCATTGGGTGTGGGTAAACTGAGGACTCAACTCTGCTCTGGGGAGTGTTACACTTTTCCAGTATTATTCCTGTGTTGGTGTAACCTGATTCCCTGTGGTTGGAGGACTGAGGTTGTTCTCTTGCTAGTTTTCAGCTGCGTGGTCATGCTAGCAGCTACCATTCTAGGTGGTTACGATAAGCAGCTGCCATTCTAGGTGGTCATGCTAGCAGCTACCATTCTAGGTGGTTACGCTAAGTAGCTGCCATTCTAGGTGCTTATGCTAGCAGCTACCATTCTAGGTGGTCAGTTAAGCATCTGCCATTCTAGGTGGTCATGTTAGCTTCTGCCTCCAGATCCTTCCCACATGGCCCTTTCACCTTCAGGCCAGCAAGAGTTCATAGTCTGACTGATGCCAGTCTCTCTAACTTCCTCATCTAGAACCAAACAGACAGGTCTACCTTTAAAGTAGAGTTCCCTCAAGGGTACCCTGTCACAGACCCCAGTCACCTGTCATTGTCCTAAGACTGTACTCTAGGCATCTGGAAATCTTGAAGTCCACCAGGAACCGTACGCACATGACTGGTAAAGAACAAGGCTCAGAGAAGTTCAGCATGGGGGCAAAGGAGTGTAGTGTGTCATCCCAGGGCCACTGCATCCCACTGTCTCCCTGAGGGGGCATGGGACAAAAAATCAGCTTGGAGGGAGTTCAGGGCTTGGGGTAAGGCGGCAGTTGTTCTGTACCTAAAACTGATCTAGAAACCTCTCTGACCATGGCTTCCACCTTCCCCACCCCATGCAGGATCAGAGGCACAAACCAAGCTGCCTCGAAGTAGCTCATGGAAGACTCCCACGAGCCACTGGCCAGGCACATTGTCCCTTCCTCGGGGAGGAGCAGGGTGTGGGCAGAGGCACCGCAGCAGGAGTGGACATGAACACTGGCTTCCAGAGAGAGCAGCGGTTCAGTTTTGGTCATCGAAAGTGGTGCCTGCAGCGCAGGTAAGGAACTGAGCCGGCCCTGCTTGCCCGCTGCCATTTTAGCTAGCAGGAGCTCTTCATGTTCTTCTCTTAAAAGACTCTGTTGTGAGATGAGTCTTTGCTGCCTATCCCTGCCTTCCTTGATCTCCGCCAGAGCTGGTCTGGAATTCCCTGGATGCCTTGGTTAGGAATCCTAGGCTTCTGCCCCTGCTCCCCACATCATCTCCCTAAAATGCCACCTTGCTCCTCACCACTAGCTGCCCGGTCTCCGCCTCACCTCTGGTGAAGGACACAGCAAGGTTTCTCAAGGACCCAAGCCTCGGATGTGTCACCCTGTTTCTCAGGCTTGTCCTCTCCTCAACCCTTACCACTCAACCTCACCCCCACCCCCCGCCCAGTCATAGAGCGTGGTGGCTTTGAAAGCCCCTGTCAGGAGCTATGGAAGGATGTCAGGTCTGGCCTCTCATGATTACCTGGAGAGTTCCAGAAATTCCAAGTGCTGAGTAGATGGGCCAGTGAAGTCTCTGGGCTCCTGTGTATATTTATATTTGTATTTGTATTTGTATTTATATTTATGTTTATGTTTATGTTTATATGTGTATCTAGGTGTTGGGGATTAAAAGTGGCTATGCAGGCTGTGATGTGGGTGGGGTGTGGCTCTGGGAGCTCTTCGGGTACAGATCAGATCCTAGGGTGTTTTGCCTGCTACAGAATGTGTCAGTATCATCTGGGGAGCTGATAGGGTTGAAGGAGACAATATCGGGTTTCAAAATGAAGGAAGGAAACGCGGGTTCCCCAGAATACCTGTGCCATCTGGCCCAGGCACTGAGGACATCGGGATCCGTATTTGGAGGCCTTTCTTTTGGTACTGCGTCACACTCTGTGTGACAAGGCTGGCCTTGAACTCACAATCCTGCCTCAGACATTCTCAGTACTGAGGTTGCAAGTATACAGCATCATGCCCACTCTGTTTGGATTCTGGGGTGGGTCCTGGAAGCTGCCTTCTGAGGGCTCTGGGAATTCTCCACCCATCAGTTATGGTGTTCAAGGTGTGAACCGCTATGATTTCCCACCTGGCCTGCTCCTCCCCTCTGGTTAGAGCAGGCATTCTCTCCTTGTGCAGTGCCGGGGGTCAGGGCTATCGGTCACCTCAGGGGCAGCACTGCTGTAGCTTCATGGGTGTGGGTATCCGAGCCTTGGCCTTAGCTCAGCTGCATGCCTGGCTCAGCAGGCCTGTCCTGAACAGAATTCTCCTGTCAAGGTAGGAGGAGTACTCCCTGGACCCCAGGAAGAACTAACTATTTGGGCCTCGTTTTGAGGAAGGATGTGTGTAGTGGTATTGAACTCAGGGATTCCTGAGTTCAAATCCCGGCTCTAACAGTTCCTGGTTTTTATTGGCTTTTACTGGTTTTAAACATGTTGTATCTCCCTGTCCCTTGGCTTCGGTTTTCTCTCTGGCAACAGAGGACAGTGTGGCACCTGCCTCACGGGGTGCTGTGAACATACAGAAGAGGCCTCATTAGAACGGGGACTGCCCATCTGGGGGGCTTTCCTGTCACCCTCCACCACCGAGCAGGCAACTCAGCCACCATCCTCCTGGTGACAGATCCGCTATGTTGTATCACCTGGTACTGGCATGGGATCCTAAAGTGAAGGCTCCGGCCTTCCCTGTATACAAGGCCTGGCATTTCATAGACAAGTCTAAGGCCTGCAAAAAAAAATTCCTAGTGAGGTTGGCCCTGTTGCCCCCTTTAAATGGACACTGAGCTATGGACACTGAGCACAGAGAGGTTCGCTAGTTTAAAGATCGTCACACAGCTCACAGGGGCAGAATCTCTGGCTACAGAAGAATTAGCCCTTTTTCTTCCCGCTGAAATGCTTCCTGAAGAACGACTGCACCTTCAGTGACTCCTGCCCTCGGAGTCACCTGTTTCAGTCTGGATCAATGGCACCATCACCAATGGGCCCACCCCTTGGCCTCCAGCAGCACCACTCGGTCTGTTGATTTACCATTCGTTCCCATCTGTGCATATGGCAATTAACTGTGTGTTGGGGGGACCCTTGTCCTCTAGCCGACGCAGGGGTCTGGTCCACAAGGTGGACACTGGGTTCTTGAGTAGTCTAGAACTAGAACTCTGAGGAACACTGGCCAAGTTTGGAGGAGCCACCCAACACTCTCCCACTCCTGGCGTTTGCCCTCCCCTACTTCATGCCCAAATTCCCCGTTGTCCACGTGGGCTCTGACAGCTGCAGGGTAATCTGCAGAGGGAGTCCTGCCCAGCAGGAAATGAGCCCTCAGCTCCAGCCAGAAATCTGGCCCCACCCCTTCCTGCACTCTCCCTGGGAAGAACGCATGGTGATTAATGGGGTGCTGACTTAGAGTTGCTGGGGGATCCAGGAGATCATGGGCATAACTGGGCCACCAAGAAGGAAGCTGGTCTATATGGCATCCATACAGACTAAGGGTGAGGGTCCAGGATGGCAGGTGTGTGGTGTGAAGAGCCACCCTGCCCAGGATCAAGTGGCCCACTGACACTACTCAAGGCTTGAGGACACCTGTGTTTCCCAGCAGGTGTTGGAGTCATGTGAGGGCAAGATAACAGGGAGCCAGTGCTTCTCCTTGGGAGAGACCTAACCTGGGACTGTCTCCAGAATAAGGTGATTTCTGAATGAGTGGCGGAAGGCCAAAACTAACATGAAAATGAATTGGGAGATATTTTCCCAGAAAATTTTTATTGTCTTAGAAACCATTTTAAAAGTCCAATCTTGTATGGAATGGTGATGTGTAAATCAGATTAAAGCAGGTTTACTCTTCAATCTTTTTAAGTTTCAATCTTTAAAATGGATTTATTATGGGAGTTCACACATAGAGTAATAACTGTGCTTTGATGCATACGAACTTTGAATCTGAAGTTTTAGACTAGGGATCCACAAGCTAAGGCCTACGGCTGCCACCTGATTGTGTAAATAAAGCTTTATTGAGACGCATGTGCCACTCATTCGCATGCTCCCTTTGGCTGCTTCAGTCCGTCTACTCTCAAAGCCTGAGCAACAGACCGTCTAATCTTTTAGAGATGGTGTACTGACCTCTGTCCTCAGTGTCCATGGTTTTGCTTGCCAGCTAAAGCTTCCACATTCCCTTCTCTTGTCTTGGTTGGCTTGGCAAGGACTAAGAATTAAGGAATCCAGAGCTTGGAAGATGGCTCAGTGAATTAAGCACTTGTCCCAAAGGAACAAGGACCAGAGTTCAGAGTGCCCAGCAAACATGTAAAACGCTGGGCAGATATGTGGCCACTTGTAATGCCAGCATTTGGGGGAGGAGGGCAGAGACAGGGAATCCCCTTGGCAAGATGGCTAGCTAGACTAACCAGACTCAGCAAGTTTCAGGTTCAGTGGGAGGCCCTACCTCAATAAAGTAGGAAGTAAACAAGGAAGACAGCTCACACTCACTTAGGGCCTCTGTATACCTCACACATACATGTGTACACACACACACACACACACCTACACACACACACACACACACACACACACACACACACACACACACACCATAAAAAAAAAAAGATTAAAGTTGGGGGTGCTGGAGAGATTTCAGTGGTTAAAGCACTTGTTATACATGCATGAGGGCTGGGGTTTGGATCCCCAGAATCCAAGTCAGTGGATGTGGCAACATACCTATATAATTCCAGCTTTGGAAGGTAGAGATGGGATCCCCTTCCAAGAGACTAACCACCGTGAGGAGTTCTCGTTTTGGTTGAGAGACCTGCCTTATTTAATAAGATAGAAGAAAGACTGAAGATGATCCCTGACATCAAGCTGTATATGTGTGGATACACACACACACACACACACACACACACACACACACACACACACACACACACACACGGGGATTATAGAAAAAACAATCAATAAATCCTAAATCATCTCAATAGGAAGTGGTAAAGGTAACACTTTCCACAGTGTACCCATCTTTAGCTGCTACAGGACATTCCAGGAGGACTACAAGGGAGTTCCAGTTTGCATCATCAACAGTATCCAACAGCTGCTTGAATTCCTTCTTGTTACAAATACCAGTCAGACAGGAAGCCCCACACTCCCCGTACTTGAGAGCTTAACCTTGTGACTGCCCCTCATCACTGACAGCTTAGGAGTGCACTTGCCTGGGTAGCTTTTCAGACCCATACATAGTCATGAATCAAACCAGTGATACAACACCCAGGAAAGAGCTCAAACCTGGTGACTCTGGCTGAAGATACACCTCAGTCCTGAAGGTCAAGATCTTCCCTGACCCCATGCCAGAGTCTGTCCAAGCCAACCTAAGCTGGTACCATGCATTTCCCGAGCTGCAGTGCATTGGAGAACGTGTTCAAATGTGCTGGTCCACTTTCTGTTACAGTGCTGATAGGAGCCAAACTGTATTTTTAGCACAAATTTCTCCTATAGTAATTGAAGAGCCCCCTCTGAAAGGATTAGTGGAACACAATTTGAAGACAGCCTTCAGCAAGAATTGACTGCTCTTATTCCACTGCTTAAGGATAATGGAGGAGTCAAGGATGCTGAGTATCCTGTTGGGAGGCAGAAGAGGAAGCAAGGAGAGGTGGAGGAGGGGAGAGAGGAGGAATCCTGGGAGAAACAGTCAGAGAGTCGAGTCCCCGGCACAAACTGTCCTCCAGCAACACAGAGAGGCCCCGTGACTCCTGCCAAGGATTGTGATGTCTCCCACAATCAGCTTTCCAGCTGCCTTTATGATTTACAGCTGTCCACACCAAGGGGAAGGTGCAGGTTCACTTGGGGACAGATGACAATGCACAGAGAGAAGGGCAGTCTCTTCTGATACACATGTCAGGGGCTTCTGTGGCTGTGTAGCAGGTCAAGGTGTGTTGCATGGAGAGGTCACTCAGAGCTTTCCCATGCTGTTCCTCCTGTCTGCATTTCCATCCTCTGCCCCATGTACCCCTCCTCAATGATGTTAGGGCATTAGGAACCTTTTCCGTGGGGTTCTGGGGAAGCCTGCT